TTTTTCCCCCCCCCCCCCCCCCCCCCCCCCCCCCCCCCCCCCCCCCGTCGTTACAATGTACTTTTAATCTCACCTAAATCGAGCTGTAAAGAAAATTTTCTTTGTCAACACAGGGAAAAATATTCCTGCATATCTGACAAGAAAGAATTCCCTAATTCCATAGTACTTCACTGACTGACCCCTTCCAGTGCTTAATTACACTCACACTTGGAAAGTTTATCCAAACATCTATCCCACATGTCTTTTTCTGAAAATAAATCATGGATCTTGCTTTGAAATTGTAAGGCTACAACTTTGCAGGCAGAAGCAATATAAAATTATCTTCACATTGCTCCACTATTTCTGTTCTACTAATCCTCATGTGTGCAAATACATTATAACTATTATTTATTCTTCTAGACAGAAAGGCTTAATACAGCCTTAACTAGGAAAACAAAGTTAGCTGTCAACCTAATAAATAAATCTGTGCTCAGCAACAAAAGTATACTTAAGATTCCTCAAAATTTTGATATTTTTGAGAAAAATATATAAATTGTAGCTGAACAATGGCACCTAATTTATTTAAAGAATCCCATCATTGTACTACTCTATGACTTCAAAAACTTTTTCTTAATTGCAGTAGCCAGTTTCATAAATGTGGGCATATGCATTTGATTCAATGTATATAGCATTGCTGAATAAATATTTAGAAAGGAGCAGAGCTGTCATAATACTAAGAAATTTTCATAATATAAGGTACAAGGTACAAATAGGTATTAGGGCTTGTGGATCCTAACACTGTTCATCACTTTCTTGTACAGTCATGAGGCAAGTATTTCTCTACTCTAGCTGTAGAGTAGTAGCTAGGAATAAGGGAATTATTCCTATTCCTATAAAAAGGGAATACAGTTATCAAACAATTAAAGTCATTTACTCAATGTGTCAGTGCATCTTCCCCTCTGCTCTGCTGTTGAGACCCCACCGGGAGTACTGCGTACAGTTCTGGTCCCCCAACATAAGGACATGGAACTGTTGGAGCAAATCCAGAGGGCCACAGAGTTGCTAAGAGGACTGGAGCACCCCCCTATGAAGACAGGCTGAGAAAGCTGGGACTGTTCAGCCTGGAGAGAAGGTTGTGTGGAGACCTCATAGCGACCTTCCACTATCTGAAGGGGGCCTACAGGGAAGCCAGAGAGGGACTCTTCATCAGGAACTGTAATGACAGGAGTTATGGGTACAAACTGAAAGAGAGGAAATTTAAATTAGATATTAGGAAGAAACTCTCTATGTGAGGGTGGTGGAGCACTGGAACAGGTTGCCCAGGAAGTTTGTGGATACCCCAGTCTATAACGTGTTCAAGACCAGGCCAGAAAAGGCCTTGAGCAACCTGGTCTAGTGGGACATGTCCCTGCCCATGGCAGGGGAGTTGGTACTAGATAATCTTTGAGGTCCCTTCCAGCCCCTTAGCATTCTATGATTCTATAATAAAGACTTTAAATCTCTTATGAACTAATGTAGGTTTTTCTAAAATATAAGATGTATGCAAGCACAAGCTTGTAAGTAATCATGCAACTTGCTGACAACTTTTGTATGCTCAAATAGCTATGAAATACAAGGAAAAAGCTGCTGTTCATCTTTATAGAATATTATATGAGTATAAAAGCAAGATATGGATTTGAAAGCGCTAAGAGGAATTTTACTGCAAATTGGTGTGGGTACACTGAAGTGTGGCATTTTTCTTGTTTTAGTTACATTATTCTCAGAGCTTTTTAGTCAATCCTGGGAGGAGTAGTAAAACTTCAGAGATTGTGTTCATACAGTGGGGCCTAATTTTATTCATGTGTACCCTGAGGAGAGTGTAAAAACTCAGACCCTTACTCCTCTTGCAATTCTGCTTCTTGGAGATTTTTAGTCTAAGTGCAATACTGAACTCTCTGTTGCCAAGCCGAAGGTCACCTCTGTTGAAGAAATAAAGTGTATGGTCCTGACATTCCAGCAGGATGAGAAGGGAGATGAAAAAACTTGCCAAGAAAAGCCAGCTTGTAGTGGAAAGTACCTCCCTGGTGAGGGGGAACAGAAAAGGGAAACAAACCTCAGATTTTCTGATCTTTACCATGTACAGTTAAACAACATTTTTCAAAATTCAGTGAAGAAGAAAAGAATGCAAATTATCCTGTGCTATTCAGAGGGACAACCTAGTGGGATTTTCAGATCAGGAAGCATAAAAGTATTTCTTCTTTCTTTTTAATTTCAGATCTAGAATAAATAAAACCTACAGCTCCCCAGTGCAAACACATAATACCGTTTACAAGGCATAGACCACATTTTGTTCTATTACAGCTCTTAGCACATTGGCTCTCAGTTTGTGATACTATAAATACCTCCTCATCCTAAAAGTCCACCCAAATCCTGAAGCATTGAGATGAAACTGAAAGCAGCTGCACTGCATAATGCCAGAGAGTTGCCTAACCTCGTGTCTGGTATCAAAGAGCGTTCAGTGGTCTATGCCACGAGGCTATGAGGATTGCAGGACTGCCAGTCAGCCTGGAACACTTCCCTGGTTACAAACTCTCTTGACTTCCAGTGATCAGCCTTCAGTGAGTTTCTGATCCAGGTATCTTTGCTATATGTCCCGTTTTGTAATGTAAGCATGCCATGTGTGAAAAAATGCTGCTCATTTTTTTACTTTGGACTGGCTACCTCCAGATTACTTTTTCTATGAAAAGGCAGACCTTTTCCACATCACTTCTGAATTTACAGATCCCTGTTACATCCTCACTGAGCTGCCTCTTTCTCATCCACAAGAGTCCCAGACAATTCATCTGCTTCTCAGTTGTGTTGTCATTACACAGCTTTTAGCTGCTTTGATCCTCCTATTTGAGCCTTTTCCTAGCTCTGCTGCCTTTTTGTAATGGAGTAGACCAGAATTTTACACTACATTAAGACCTAAGTGCACCATCAATTTACACAGCATAAAACTGTTTTCTGTTTTATTCTTTATCTCCTACTGAGTCATTCTTAGCACTTGTCTGACCTGCTGCTGAGCAGTGAGCTGAAGTTTCCGTAAAATTACCCGGGTAACTCCAAAATCACTTTGCTACACAGCAATAGCTACTTCAGAGGACCAAGGTGCAGGTAAAGTGAGAACTCAGTATTATTTAAAATATTGTTTTATATTTCTGTTATTTTAGTAAAATATTGAAATACATCTACTTTATCAGACTCATGAGATTTGTCTGCTGCTTTTAGCACTTTCCATTTTTATTATTTTTGAGAATACAACCTAATTGCAAACATTCTGTTACTGTTTAGACCTCTTTAACTGATCTGTTATGTATCTGATTTTCTACTTTATTATTATTCTATTTGGCAAATAGCCATGTAGTTGGCCCAGTGTCCCAATTAAGGGACTCCTACTCTTCAACCAGTGCATTGCTGTTTTTCAAAGAAGCTTTAACGAGAGACCTCGCCTAAACACTCGTACTTGTCTACTCAGGGAAGTGTCCAGTAACTCTACTGACCATGAGGCATGAACATTCTTAGTATGTAAATATTCATACTAATCAGTGCTTTTACACTCTGATCACCTAATGACCTGTGAGCTTCTCTTGTTTAGAAAATAACATAAGCATGTACAGGTATTGCAAATTTCTTCACGTTTTTCATATTTGTTCATTTCTATTTTCTTAACTTTGACACAAAATACTAAGATGAGATTTTTCCTCTTGTGATTTCTCTAACTCATTTGCCAATGAAAAAATAATTTATATTCCCCAGTGAAACAGTGATCTAATGCTTACACTAAAAATTGAAATTTTTATTTGGATTTGTTTTCTGTCAGGTGTGGTTACCACCAGGTATGGTTACCACCAGAGTGAGAGATTTTGCTATATATGGTCATAATTCTCAATGGACTTACTTCATAGGCATAAAGACACTCAGTCTAAGGGAAGTCTGCATTAGTGGTTGCCTATTTATTTTCAAATCATAGCATGGCACTAGTTTCCCACAGAAGAAACAACTTGTTATCTCCGTTGTCTCAACAGCCTCACTTAAAAGCAGATATTCCAGTCAAGTGGTTTTTTTCAGACTGCGATTTCCACAGAAATATATACAGTGGGTTCAGTTCCCAGTTTTAATGGAACCTTACTTAAACTGCTCCTTGATGTTTATTTTCCCCAACTTCTACCCTATTCTTTTACCATAGTCTATTTATCATCCATAATCACGTTTCCCTTCTTACACATCTACTTTTCCCCAGTTCATAGACTTTAAATGCCTACTTCTTTCATTAAAAAAAAAAAAATGCTGTGACAGAATCCTGGTTTCATTCTTTGCACATACTCCTATTACTAATGGGCCTATCTGTTTTTATTCCCTTGACAGTATTTGCATGGTCATGCAATGTAACACTGCTTCTCTCCCTCTCTTCTCCTCTTCTTCACGGGTCTGGAAAGCTACCACATGAAGGCCACACTCCTCCAGCCTGAAGTAAAATCTTTAATCCAAAGGGAAAGTGTACTTTTTTTAATAGCAGAAAGAAGGAGGAATTAGAAAATAGAAGTAAAAACCCTGTTTCTGTTCAGTGCTGCTGCATGAAACAGCCACAGAAAAACAATAAAAGTAAATTTGTTAGTGAAACCATTTCAGAAACAGACTTTTTTTCTAACAAATGTACAGAAAACATTAATTTGAGGAGTTGAGGTTGTTTTATTTTACACCTAATACAATTCAAATTTAAAGGATTACTTGCACAAAAAAATAAACACATTTGGTATAAAAATTTATTGTCACTTTAACACCTTTTTTTCCTCTTATGGCCCCTGCCTTCTCTGGAGCAGAAACATATAAAGACTAATGGCACAAGTTTGTTTTATTCTACAGCATTTTTTTTGTTTTTACATACTTGAGTACCCTAAAGGACAACAGCCCGCTGTATACAAGAACCATTTTCTTCAGCCTGCTGAATTAAGTTTCATAAAGAACCAAAGCTATAAAGGCATTTTAAAAACATTGTCTCTTTTTTTTCTTTCAGAAGCACTGACTTTTTGCACCATTTATATACATAGTGTTACGTAACAGCTCTTGAGTACAGTACATGCAGCAGAATATATCTCTTGTATATAAAACATACATTTAAAACCTTGACTTATTGGAATTCTTTGAAGATTAAATAATTGTAGAATGCCCAGTGCTTAGAGAAAATGGTTTGATAGTACAAATCTCTGCATATGTTGGCCACTGGAATAATCCAAGGCTCACTGGAATAGTATCTGTAGCACATCAAGGTGCGTAAATAATTTACTTAGAATGTTAAAACACAACTAGCAAAACCAATAGTTCATGATCTTACAACTGGGGGCTGGAACTAGATGATCTTTACGGTCCTTTCTGTTAAGTCCCAACCATTCTATGACTGCTATGTTAACTCTTCAGTGGTTGCAAGGAGGTGTTGTGAGAGTTCCCCCTCCCCTCCTAAGTCCTCTATAAAACCTTTAGTACACAATTTGTTTTCCAGATGAAGAAACTTATTTATGTCTACTGCCTCTTCTCTTCATTGCAGCTGTACACTGTGGACAGTACCATTTCCCTTTTGGTGCTTCTGTCAGTCCAACACATCCATAGTGGAACCACTCAATAGGACACTATAAAAAGAGAATTAAAGAGATGGTTTGGGATTTGTTTGGTTTGTTTTTTTTCCACAGTGCCTATCACAAATACAATTCTATGAAAATGAAACACGAGTAAAAAGCATAGATTCTGCTTTTCATACAAATCACAGGGAAAAATTACAAGAGATGAAGATCTCAGTCTCTAACATACACTCAATAAACTAAAGAGAGTGATAAGAATTCTAGGACTCATACAGCAAAATAACTATGTTTTGCTTTGAAAGACTTAGTTTGACAATACTAAGTGACACAAAAGTAATCTTATCATGCATTTCTGTTTAAATGTAGTGTCTCAGTAAATACATGATGACATTCAACTGCTCTTTTAAAACTTTTTTATTTGAAGAGGACAACTGTTATTAGCTAAACATAGCTAAACATTCAGAGAAATAAATGGTATTTTGAACTAGGGTTTTTCTGAACCCAGTAAAGGCTGAAGGTTTCTAAAAGAACCTGAACTGTGAGGAGAAATGAGAAGTTTCCTGAAGGGTGGTTCAAAACATATGCACTTTACTCTAAAAAAATCTATTTGAAAACCAACTCTAAAAAAAAGTAACTTCTGCAAACAACAATTACATGCACAAGCCTCTCTTGAACCCTTTGAACTTTGTTACTTACATCTTGGTTATCACAGCCTACCATTTCACCATAGGACACCTAGTAAGAAAAAAAAATTCCATTCTTAATAATTGTATTATTAACTAAAAGCAATTAACATAGGGCTAACATTCAAGTTTTTTTCCTTTAAGGAGTCTGTCCATTAACAGCAGCAACAACATTTTGATTTTAATTCTCACAGGTATCACAGATATCACAGAATATTCTGGAAGGATACTGGAAAGGATCCACGAGAGTCATCTCTCTTAAGGATCCTCTTCACTCTTAAGTGAAGAAGCTGTGTGGACCTTTTGTTTCCCTTGCATACATGACAATTTCAAGCACTTTATTTGAATCAATCAAATATTTTAAAGAGAATTACAGAAATCTATAAACTCTAAAAAAGTCAACTTTCTTAAAAGTGTTTGAAATAAGAACAGGCATTTTAAGTAAGTTTCTCATGTTGTCATTCATTCTCCGGATAGCTTATCTAAAATTAGGTTTTTGTTTGGTTGTTTGGGCTTTTTTAAGTTTATGGGATATTTTGGGTTTTGGTGGGGGTTTTTTTTGTTTGGTTTGTTTGGTTTGTTTGGTGGTTTTTGCTTTCTATGGGGAAGTTGGAGAAAACAGACAAATTCCTTATTAACTTAACATTTTAACTACATTCACTGTGAACCCTTTCCATTTTTAATTTAATTATTTCTGAAGTCTCCACTAACAGATTTTTAAACACTTCAGGTATGTCACATCACTAGAAAACTGACCACTTTTAGCTTGAGTTGATAATATTTGTAGCACCAGTAAGTAAATAAAAACAGATCAGAATTTCAAAGGGTAAACCCACAATGTTTTAAAATTAGCAACCAGAGAAGGAAGTTCAATTACATCAAACCAGCAGTTCTAGTTGTATTTCAGGCTGGAGGCCATCCTTACCTGATTACAAATGCAGTAACGTGGCTCATTTGGATCATAGGTCCAGTCAACCTGGCTATTAGAATCAGACTCTGGTATTACTGCTGTTTGCTGAGACAGTTCTTGTGCTAGTGCAGATGAAGAAGAACATGATGATAGAGAGGAAGAAGAAGAAGATGACGAGGACTGCTGACTTGAGGATTTGTTGTTGTTTCTGAGAAGAGGAAAAACAAAAAGGAAAAAATGGCATACATGATTTAAATTTATTTCCTGCCAAGTGAAAGAATCACTAAACAAGTACTTTGTTAACTCTGAAATACTGCAGTATGTAAATCCCAAAGCATCATTTGCTAACAGATTTCATTCAACCACTTGCAAGCACTGGAATGGGCCCACTGAATGCTCTTTGGAAAAGGAAACGAGTCGTACCAGCTTACAAGTGCAAAATACACTGTTCTAATCAATGGAATTTAACAGCTCTAAACTGTCAAATGGCTTTAATGAATGCTTTTCTGCACAAAATTTTCCATTAACACCCTTGGTGTCAAGTCTCCATAAAAATTATATTACAAATGAAACAGGAATTTACATATAAATAATGTCATACGTCATGTACAACAGGTAACTGTTTTGAAGATGATTGATTCTCTGTTAACCTCCACTCAAGCATCACCAATCACTCCATAGGAATGGTGCCAGAAGAAAAATTTTATGCTTTTGCTTATAGATGAGATCTGACACTAAATCTATGCGTAGATTAAAAATCCTTCTAAAATAGTACTATTAACTGAGCTGTGAACACACATAAATTTGTATGAAGAAAAAAACTCGTGTCAGTTTAAAAGGATGGGCATTTTAAGACAAATTATTTCAAGTACAAGTTGTGACACTGTTGGTTAAAATGTTTTAAAACTTCACTTTAATCAGAAATAAAATTCAGTCCATTTCCTGTCCTAGATGATCAGCCATCAGAAAGTGTTGCATTTATTTGTGATCTGGCATGAAGCAAATCTGCAGATAATTTCAAAACCGTTGCATGGTAATTCCCAACATTTGCTGTTGGGTCAAATCTCTCCAGAACACAAAAAAATGAGGGAAGAACCTTGACTGTATCACAGATGAAAAAGCAAATCAACACATTTCTTTACAAACTTGGAGTGTGTTTGCTTAAATAAAAAGAAGTGAGAGGACTGAAGAACACAGCCCTGAAAAAAAAATGCCCAGCAAGCAATAACTGTCTTCTACTGATCCTCCCTCACAGATATTAAATACAAAGTATTTCTATTATGGCCCATGACTTTTAAGAGAAAGCTTAGCTGCCTTAAAAGCTATAACTGCAGTAAACAAGTAAGAAAACCTACTTGCTTTTTCTGCCACTTCGTGAATCTGTGGTTGATGAACTTAATGTCTGTGTTAACGTAGATGCCAGAGCTGATGATGAATATCCAGCTGAATCTCTGGACAATGAAAATTCTCTCCCAAGCTGAAAATCATTGTTTTTAAATGCTTCATAGCTGGCTTTTAGACTGGATGTTCGTCTTCCCTCCTTCATCTAAAAGGAATACTGGTATTGTATCAGATTACACAGTAAAGCTCTTACATACGACAACTGCTAATTGCTAATTATTTGCACAGGTTCGTTAGTTACCTTGTTAACAAAGTGATGTAGAGTAAGCAGTAAAATGTGTAAGAATATCCCCCAGGAAAAGCCAGAAAACAAGCTGTCCCTTTAGGCAATTTATATAGGATGAAACTGTGGCATATAAACAAAAGCTGAAAGTGATCGTGAGAATTCAGATTTAAAAAAAAATAAAGTCACTAGCCTTTCTTCTTAATCAATAGCAGATGGTAGAGTGACAAGAACATTTTGACATTACCTGTGCCGTGGCTTGCACTGCTTGAGCTGCTGCCATGGTAATTGCACCGGCCCCGGATCCTGAAGATAATGAGCCCAGGTTATATGATGCCAATGGTTGAGAAGAGTTTGTATTGTATGCATTGTTTGAAGAGGATGATGAATTACTGTTTCGACACCCTTGATGAATAGAACACATTTATGAAATTCAAAATGAAACTAAATTCCTTTGCATTTTAAGAAGAGTTATATATGACAACCAGTGAAAGAGTAGGAACTCTATTTATGCATCAGAGCAGTCTAATAATTTTGAAAAAAGGTTTTAAAAGTAATTTGACATAGACAGTATTTGTATAAGGGAAAAAAAAAGAAGCTTGTTCCCTCTCTATGCTCATGTCCAAGGAGTCCTTTTAGAAAGACAGCTCTCACTATCCTACTCAGCTACCAAAGAAAAGATGCAGCTGCTGTATCTGTCGATATTGAAACAATGCTGACTAACCATCAAGAAAGTAAGAATTTGACTGTACACCTATACTGTTTCTGAGGTAAAACTTTACTGATCTTAATTCTAAAAACTACAAATCACAGTTTTAATGCAACACAGATTTCCATGGCCATCTACAGAATGACAGCTGCTCATAGTTACATTTTATTTGCAACTTCATGTGAAGATCCTTCAAAAGAAAAGTGAAATAGGTATGAGGGAGACTACTTAAAACTGATGAACACTGCTAAATTCCAAAACATACAGTAGTTACTTTACTTACATAACCTCTCATAATCTTTTATTTTCAGAAAAGAAACTAAGAAATGCCTAAATTTTGAAAATGGGCAGAAAGTTGTGGGGGTTTTTTTATTCACCAAACAGGCTTCTTGCCTCTTTTGACATAGACAATACATGAAAGAATTTTATTTTATTGTAGCCAAATCCCATGTCAGACCAACACTTTAAAAAAAAGAGGTGTGAAAATTCTTTTCCCTTACTTTGGAAATTGTTCCATGCATTTCTTTTTTGCAAAGCAGTAATGCATTGATCTCTTATATTTCTACTACAGGCTGAATGAAATCGTACTGTTATCTTCTTTGAAGCAGTGTAAATAAAAAGGAACAGCCAACATACAGCTGTTAAATGACAACAAAACTGACCTGCTTCATGGACAACACAGATGAGTAACAATGCCTACAGTATCTCACGTTTCAAGTGACTGAAAATCCCAGAGGAAAGGGTATGAGCCTCTGATTGAAAACTGGCTGAATGGTAGATCCCAGAGGGTCATTATCGATGGCACAGGGTCTAATTGAAGGTCTATCATTAGTGGTGTCCCCCAAGGTTCAATACTGGGCCCGGTACTGTATAACTTATTTATCCATGACTTGGATGAGGGGGCAGATTCCTCTTTAGCAAGTTCGCTGATGACACAAAGCCAGGCAGAGTGGCCAATATCCTACAGTTCTGTGCAGCCCTTCAAAAGGACTTCGACAGGTTGGAGAGATAAGCAGAGAAGAACCTTTTGAAATTCAACAGAGGGAAGTGCAGGGTCCTGCACCTGGGGAGGAATAACCCCCTACACCAGTACAGGCTGGGGTCAACCTGCTGCTCCGTGGAGAAGGACCTGGGGGTCCTGGAGGACAACAAGCTGTCCATGAGCCAGCAGTGTGCCCCTGTGGCCAAGAACCTGGAAGCTTCTTAGGAAGACCATTGCCAGCAGGTCAAGGGAGGTGATCCTGCCCCTCTGCTCAGCCCTAGTGAGGCCACACTGGGAGTGCTGTGCCCAGTTCTGGGCTCCTTGATACAAGAGACAAGGAGCTCCTGGAGCAGGTCCAGCAGAGGGCTATGAAGATGATTAAGGGACTGGAGAATCTCTCTTATGAGGAAAGGCTGAGAGAATTGGGCCTGTTCAGTCTCAAGAAGAGACAACTGAGAGGGGACCTCAACAATGTATATAAGTATCTGAAGAAAGAGTGTCAAGAGGATGAAGCCAGGTTCTTCTGGGTGGTGCCAAGCAATATGACAAGAGGTGACAGGGAGAAACTGATGCCCAGGAAGTTCCACTGGAGTATAAGGATGGACTTGTTTACTGTGTAGGTGTCCAAGCACTGGAACAGATTGCCCAGAGAGGTTGTAGAGTTTCCTCACTGAAGAAATCTCTGAACTGTCTGGACACAATCCTGTGCAATGTGATCTGGGATGACACTGTTTGGAGCAGGTAGGTTAAAACAGATGACCCACTAGGGTCCCTTCCAACCGTACCCATTCTGTGATTTCAAAAGACTAATTCAAAAGTTTCTCTTCTTTTAATTTAAAACCAATGAAAGGAAAGACAATTAGGATTACCTGGTGTATTTTCTTTAGAAGCATCTGAAGTCAGGGTAGATAGAAGAGCTTCAGATTTAAACTTCTTTTCAGGAACATGATCTGTTGTACTGTGGTGAGAAGATGGATTGTGTTTCCTTTCTAAATTAAACAAATGGAGGAAATTTAAATGTATTCAGCTTGAAAGTCAAACTAAAAAACCAGCACTTTCAACTAATTTCCACTAGCAAAACCTTACTATTTCATTCTTGCACTTCTTCTTAACAGACTAAATTATTATCATTTATTATGCTTTTTTTCCCCTGAAATGTCTGGAAGAAAAAAAAAATTCAGAATATTTTTTTTCCTAGTACTACTCAAAAAAAAAAAAGGAAACATAAAAAAGTGGCCACTTTTTTAAAGTCTCAAATACTTACTCTCTACTGGAGTATGAGAATGGGCGTGATGGTTATTCACAGGCTGTGATGGTGTATCCAGCTCCAGAGATCCTAAGAAGGGGTGAAAAGGTTAGGAAAATTTCAGAGTTGTCCTTGCCATGCTTTTGATTTTTAGATATTAAGTGAATCTTTATAATATTAATCAAATCACTATGCAGTTATATTTATTTTAATCATAAGAATTTTTGCTAGAGTAGAAACCCTTCCTACAGTACAACCAGAAGCCAGTGAGATTAGTTTTAAAAATTGGTGAATGCCAGTGTTTAACTATTGAAATCAAGGTCAATAAGGAGAACAAAAAACATTGCCCTCAACATGCCACTTATTCAAATGAGTTGCACACAAGTTGGTGATGACTGGAGGATGGCTGCACCAAAACTACTGACAGTCTCCACCAATATGAATTGAAAAATGTAACAGGTCAACTACGTAAACAAGACATTTTGTCCCGCTGAGTCCATCTTGTCAAAATGGAAACAATAGCAATGTATTTCCAGATGATTTAACATTCAACAGGAAGGGCTTCACTACCATTATCCAAATTTTCCTAAAGCTTAAAATAAAAAGAGCAACAAATACAAAGAAAAAAAACCACCTATGAAGTCGGTGAGGCACAAATGCAAGTATACATCTAGGAATAATATTTCTTGTAAGATGAGGCTAAATAATTGCAGCATGGGAGAGACTTTTGAGTATAAATTTCCATTAGCACAATATACAACACTTTGTGCATCAATCTCTGGCAAAAAAAAAATCTGAAGTAGCTGCAATATCTGCTAACTCGTGTTTAGATAGGAGACTATTCAACAAAGCAAATGACATTCACTTTTCAAAATCTGTAGCTTCAACATTTCTTTACTTTTTTCAGTGCTTTCAAAAACCACTGAAATATATGAGTATATGACTAATATATAACTGTATTACAAAAGCTTAAATAAAATTATTCTGGAAGAAGTTCAAAGCATAAGAGCTATTTTGGCTGAGTAAACTTCAATCACATCATCAACAAGCCCAAAGGCTGCCCTCTGGTGGAACCTCAGCTATAAGCATTTATTCTGAAAGTGAAAAAATTTACAGGCTTCTACTTTTAGCTTTATTTAAACAAACAAAGGAAGCCCAAACCCAAGCAAACCTTAAAGATGCCACATGCAGTTTGGTGCTTTTCTATTCTGAGTTCTTGAAATGCTACCTAGCAACCTCTCCAAACACATAGCTCAACAGAAGATAAACAGCCGGGATTTCAACTAAAATAAACTAATCATTTTATGTAGTCGCTAGTTCATTAAAAGCATTCAATTTACAGTTTTCTCTTTGTGCCTGTTATTTGTAATAGCAATTACAAATAAAATATCCCAAAACTCCCAACTCATATGCCAAAGCCACAAAAAGTTCCAAGAAAGAATATTTATTCCCAATATCCTCAAGTGATTTAAGTTACTTTTCACTGTCTTTGGCTATGAGGACAACCACTGCCTCCATAATCACAGTAATTAAATGAACTCAGAAATATATCATAATCACATCCAAACTTGATGTTTAAATGCTGATGCATACAGAAAGGCCAGACTCTTCTGCACCAAGTTGGTCAAAAAAGCTGTCACATTACATTTTTGTCCACATTCTTAACACCAGCATTGCTATATTTGTTCAACATGCAGGTTTCTTACCTAAAATGCTCTTTCTTCACTACACCATTACAAAACAAGCCATTCTCACCCCTTTAAAAAAATAAGTATCTAACTGTATTTGATATTCCACACCTAGAACTAAAATAAACTAAAGACCCTCCGCCATGTGGTGGCAATCAATTCAAGGAAGAAATAGTACACTTGAAACTGGGTAGGTGACAGGCTTATACTGAAGTACTTGTCTGAATACCTCCAGTCATTAAAAACAAGTTGAAAGAATTCTGCATCTGTCAGATACAGTCACCAATTCACAAGTGCAACAGTTGTGTGAAAAAGTTATTCTAATTACTCAGCTGTATTTTGACTTCACTGGTAAAAATTGATGTTGAAACTAAAATTTGAGAATCAGTGATGAAAAGTGGGTTAAAACACAGTTTTAAAACAAATGGGAATTCTGCCTGCCACTAACAAGTGTATGATACTTTAATTTTGCAAATTGACAGAAAGTGTGTCAAGTTCTTAAAGAAAATCATGCATACTTACGTCTCTCTAATATTTCTGTGATTCCAGCATTATCTGCTTCAAGTTCCATTTTAAATTTAGCAAGTTCCTGGTCCAGTTTTCTCAGATGACGATCCACCTGTTTTTCAGACAAACCAACAACAAATAGCATCCAGTTCTGGAACATGAACATCTACATCCTTAATTTCAGACTTGCTAAGTATTTCCCTTCCAGCAATTTTATGCCATGCAGCACTAAGCACATACAGTAACACACAGAAGCATATCTTCTTGGTCACCTCCATTTCCCTCACTCAGCAGAGACACTGGTGTTAACACCAAAACAGCGTAGGCAGTGATCCAACACACTGTCATAAGTGCCTCTTTCAAGAAAAAAGATGAAGAGGACTTGGAGGTGCTGTGGATACGTCAATACAAAGGAGAAGAGAAAGAACAGTTCATGACGTGGGCTTTGGAAGAGGTTGGGCTGCTTTGGGGAAATTGAGTCTTAAGTAAAAGCGTAGAGATTCCTGTGCATTTGAGTAAATCATGACGTGCTCTTGGGTACTAAAAATTAACAAAAAAACCCCTGAACTCACTATAGTGAAAAGAAACACTATGTTGCAAATGCTTTCTACGTCTGCAGCCATCCAGCAAAATACATCTGTCTCTGTTAAAAACTGAACAGGTTTTTCCAGCTAACCAAAAGAGAGGATATAAGAGCTGACTTCTGGAACAAACTTTTGGTGCTGCTGTGAAACTAAAGCAGTTGTTTTATGTCTACTACATTTGAGTGCAGTATGACTTGCACGGTCTAAGAAAATGCAAAGTAAATATACTTAAACTTCAAAACCCACATGCCACTATTCTCTGGGCCCGGCCATCCAGCCAGTTTTTTACCCAGCCAATAGTGCACCTGTCCAAGCCAGGAACAGCCAGTTTCCCCAGAAGAATGTTGTAGGAAACAGTGTTAAAGGGTTTATTAAAGTCCAGAGAGACAGCCTTTCCCTCATCTGCCAATCAGGTCACTTTGTCAAACGAGGAGATCAGGTCATTCAAGTAGGACCTGCCTTTCCTAAACCCATACTGTCTGGACCAGATCCCCCTGGCTGTCCAGCTTGTGCTGCAGGATGGCTCTCAAGATGATCTGCTGTTGCAGTCCAACAGAAAAGGAAGTGCTAGGATTAAACAGGAAACCTTGGGCCACAGGGGCTGGAAAAAAACATCATCTAAGAGACCAGACAAGATCCATTGACATTCACTTCGTGTGGATTGTCTTGATCTCCCCCAGCAGGAAGCAGAGAGACTTTGCATGATGCTATCAGATATCTCATTGTTTTCTCCCTCCCTGTGTAAATCCTTATTTCGGGAAAAGCTGACCACCCTTCCCCAGTATAATCTTGCTTACTGGAAATATCAAATCCTTTTTCCCCCAAATGTAAATACTGGATCCAAAAAATGTAAATCCATTTTTCCCCTTATGTCACCCCTGTTACTGGAAATGCTAATAGATTGTGGAAACCCCTGTTTGGAATAACCCTGCCTCCTCATTAGCATGTTAAGCCCCCAAGACCCTTAAACAGCATTCGCATGTTCAATAAATCACTCCAGTTTTTGCCCCCATAGTTGGGATCGTGACAGCTTTATTAGACCCTTACAATCTGCTCCATGACCTTCCCCAGCACTGAAGTCAGGCTGACAGGCCTGTACTTTCCCGGATCCTTTTTCCGACCCTTCTTGTAGATGTGCATCACATTTGCTAATTTCCAATCATGTGGAACCTCTGCGAAATGAATGGAAGTGGCTCAGTGAGCTCTTCCACCAGCTCCCTCAGTGCCCTTGGGTGGATCCCATCAGGGCTATAGACTTTTGTTTGTCTAAGTGGCATAGCAGGTCACTGACCATTTCCCTTGGATTATGGGGACTTCATTCTGCTCCCCAGGTCAGGGGGCTGGTTACCCTGAGAACAACTGGTCTTGTTATTAAAGACTGAGGCAAAGAAGGCATTAAGTACCTTGCACCCAGTAAAGGGTGGAGATTTTTCTCAGCCCTCCTTTTGTTGCTGATATATTTATAAAATATTTTTTATTGTCTTTTGTAGCAGTAACCAGTTTTACGTTCTACTTGGGCTCTGGCCCTTCTAATTTTCTCCCTGCATATACTCACAATATCCTCGTAGCCCTCCCAAGCTGCCTGCCCCTTCTTCCAAAGATGACACACTCTCTTCTTTCCCCCTAAGTTAAAGCTATTGCTCTCTATTTAGCCCAGCAAGCATTCTTTCCCACTGGCTTCGTTTTTGGCACATGGGGACAGCCTGCTCCCGTATGTTTAAGATTTCCTTACTGAACAATGTCCAGACTTCCTGGACTCCTTTGCCCTAAAGACTGCATCCTGAAGGACTCTTTCAACCAGTTTCCTAAGTAGGCCATAGCTGTGCATTAAAACCTTACAATTTCTAATCTTATTTCTTTGTTTTGTATTTAAGTTACACTTACTACCAAAATAACAAAATTCTTAAAAGTCAATAAAATATTAAATGTTTCTTTTACCAGCAAAATATCTGTATGTAGATGACAGAGAAGTACAGGGAGCACAGCTGTAATGCTTATCAAAATTCTTAGAACTCCTTAGGGCATAAATTTAGGTAATTCACCACAAGTCTTGTGTCCACTTACCAGATCATATATTTGATTAGCCAGTTGCACTTTTTCATCTGCATCTTCCAAAGCCTTATAATAATCCTATTAAAGAGAATTTTTTTTAAATTATGAACATAACTAAATTAATTTCCACTATTAATTTTAAGCTATTGTTATCAGACAAAAAATATAAGCTAAAAGGAGAAATTCAAGTCAGTTTTGAGAAAGCCTGTGAAACTTTACTGTAAACAACAATCAGCTAAATTTTAAATGAGAGATATAATATATACCAATTTATTGTCTGGGCCTTAGAACAAGCAAACTGCAAGAAATGTTACAAGAAAAGAAACAATCCTGGATTTATTTTATGTTACACAGCATAAAGTTATGGACTCAAAATGAGATTACGTCTTTTACTTCCTACAGATCTTTAGGACCATGGCAGATCCAACTGCTCTTCAAAAAGATGCTGAACAGTACTGTGCAGGGAGGCCCTTCCAACACTGCAGTTAAATAGAAACAATGTTGTATGTATCTTAAATTATTTTAAAATAAATTTCTATAACTCGGAAGTGTAACTTGAATGAAGCAATCCAATTTAAAAATCTGCTCTAACCAATGAAAATTCACTGACAAAACATTTTTTTAAAAAATATGTTTTCACGTTTTTACGTTAGATTTAAACAGCTTTTACTGCCTTTTAATTCTCAATTTCCAGTGAACAGCATCTTGCTTAGACTAAAACTACTTGAAATTTTGGTTCAACTAAAGTCAAAAGCAAATTTTCATTTACTCTAGGGAAGTTAGAGCTTTGACTTTTTCTTTTTTAAAATACAGAAATCTATTTGCATTAATTAAAGAAGTAAACAACCAAATAAGAGGCTGAAGTAGCCAGTGTAAGAAACTACAGAGGATTTTCTCCCAACCAAATGATGGACTACACTGCAAAAAATACCACCACCAATGCCCAAGTACTGAAAGATAGAACACATCCATCTTCTTACTCCTCCCTCCCTTAAGCTACATATACCATATATATAACATATAAAAGGACAGAGGCAGAATTACAGGAAATGTTAAATCTAGCTTGAAAATTATCCTCTAAAAGAAAGCCAATTAACTTACAAAACTTCATGTCACACAAGGAGAAACAAAAAATCTGAGCTGAAAATTTAGTACCTGGTTTCCTCACCATTTCAGGATCATATTTTTTAAATTGCTAGCAAATACTGGGTAAAACTTGAGAGAAATGCTTGATCAAAGAAACCTTTCAGTCACTTTTCTCCTCCGAGGTAGTTCTATCCATCTCTATGGAAGCCCAAGGGAAGGCATAGTTCTGAACACTTATGTCTCCATCTATCATAAGCTATTTTTTCCTAAGGTTATCTTAATTTGCAAAAGAAAAATGTTACCCACTCCTGTGATATCCTTACTTTTTTGATTGATGTCATTTGTTCTTCTCTCCATTCAGGTTTGTTTTTCTTTGCGTTCATAAAAAATTCATTTACCCTCTGCTCAAGCTGATCCATTGCATCTGTAGCACAGGAAAAGATTAAGACAAATATTATCTTCTCATGTACATAAACATTAGGAAATAATGGGAGACTTTTTTTCTCAAACAAAGTTGACAGGACTGAGGTGCAAACTATTAGAGAGGAAAAAAAAGAAAAAACCAAAACAACCAAGCGACAGTGGACAGCGGAGGGAATTATTTACCTTCATTTCCAAGAAGCAGAATTGCATTCTGGTAGGATTCTCAGCAAGGTTCTTGTGCTCTCCAGCATGGGACAGGCAGGACTCCAAGTTCTAAAGGTTTTTTGTCCCTAAGAGCAGTGGTAGTGACTTAAAGCACGACCCAAACTCCTCACCCAGGGCTCTAGATTGCTGACTTTGGAACATTCTAGCCAGTTACAAACTGAGCAGGAAACAAAATATTCTCCTAAGAGAAACAGTCAAATACAAAACCAAATAATTGAAAAAAATTAGTGCCTCAAAAAGGTAGAGCAACTGAAGAGTAAAGCCACTGCCTTTAAATCAAGGCCCTCTCCATTGTATGCTAGGAAGGGTAAGGGCAAAGCACAAGTTATTCCCCCATCCCCACAGGGGTAAATCAGTGACGAAATACTATTTGGACAGAATTCTCACTTACATGAAGTTTAGAAATATTGTAAGGGAAAAAAATAAAACCACCAATTTTCTAACATTAACTATCTCTAGAAAGGAAAATGTCAACTACAAGGGGGTTTTTTTGTTGTTTATCAAGACAGTAACAAGGATTCCCTTCCCTCTCCCTTCACGCTTCTCCCACTGAGTTTACTACTTCAACAGTTGTGCACACAACAGCTTGCACATTTCCAAAAATGTACAGCTGCCTCAGTCAAACCTGCTTTGACAGCCTTGCTAGTGTCAGGGTAATGACAATACTGATTTTTTTTTCACAGCACTCTCAGCAACGCTGCCCGGACAGCAGTTTCAAATTAAATGTGACAACCCACAAACTACCTAGACTTCAGGTTCTGGATGTAAAACAGCTAAAAAACTTTCCAGAAACCACCATCAAAACTGAATTACACGATGGGCATCATCTCTTGCCAAAAAAAAGATGAAAGTGAATTATCTAGTTCAAGAAGCTCATGAATGACAGTATGACTAACTCTTAAAACCCAACAGAGGCCAAAGGTCTTTTCACCCTATGAAAATTCACAGTTAAAACTATTTATGTAAATAACCAAAAATCAATTATACTAAATGATCAAAAACATTCATCAATTTTCCCTATGCTGGGAACATCCAGCACAAAAACCAACAGGAACCTAACAACTCTCACCATTAATCCCAAGCCATAACAGTTGTGACACAGGCTCACATCAACTTTGTTTAGACACAGACAAACAAAGCATTCACAGTTTTGGTGTAATACAGGCTAAAGATGGGAGAATCTGTACAATGAGCATTTTCCACTTGCACCATGTTATCCAGGGAGAAAGTTAAGAAGCCTGAAAAGCAATCAAGAAGCACACACTTTATGTGGAGGCTTCTAAAATGACTTTTGCCCCAATGACAACAATTCGGTCCATAAAGCCAACAAACTAAATGTTCTACCTTCTATCCCAGAGCCCATACACCTTAGGTGATAATTATTCTAAGAGCTCCATAGACAAGAAATGACAAAAAAAAAATCTTTCCTCTTCACTTTTTATTGAGGACACGTTATCAGTCTGTGTGAAACTGCATAAGGGAAAACTTCCAGAGAAATTTGGTTTCTCCTAAAAGGGCAGAAACGGCAAAGGGAAGTGAAGGTGAGATCTACCAAATTATATGAAAAGTTCTCTCTGTTACACTCAAGTTCATCCACCTTTTCTTCCTCCCAACCTTTTTAATCCAACTGTGATACTATATTCTGAGATACTAATTTCTTATATCAGATTTCTCAAGGGAGTTACCAGAAAATCTATTAGAAGAGAGGCTTTTTTTCAGAGTTTTATGTTTTACCATAAAGGCCTGATAATCCATGACTTGACCTTAAACAGAGAAACATATTTTATGCTTCATGTAGAGCTCAGTTAAAGCTCAAGAGTCAAGTCACAACTGCGATGACCTTTGCTTTTCCCACAGCAGTCTTATCAGAACATACAGAAGGTACATCTGGTTCGTTATTTCTTCCAACAACAGCAGCACCTGCCCCATTAGGAGTCCAAGTGGTCTAAACAGGACAGAACATAAAGTCAACACTGACTCTAAAACAGAGCAGCACAGGTGTCTCTGAATTACAACTCCTGTGGATTTCTGGGACAGCATCACTCATCAAACTACTGTTTTCAAGTACTTTCAAGACCCTGAATCTTCACAGCAAGTCACTGTATCACAGCATGAGAACAACCTCCAGGTTTGCATGTAGGGCTCACCGGGCAGTTTGGCAACTGATGTTAGAGATGCTACTCCAGAAATTTTGTAAATGTCTTTGGATGCTCTGTCACTCACTGTGTAAAAATAACAGAAGTACCAAGGTCTGAGAGAATTTTTCTCTGTGCCCAAGGTTGGTCCTAGTATACAGTGTTCAGTGTCATTTGCTATTTCCACCAATACAATATGGAGTGTTATTTGTAATTTCCAGTTAAAGAAGAGGAAATGACACTCCTGCAACCTTGGCAATGCTAGCTGGCTCAATTCTGAAACACACTTAAAAAAACCCCTATGAGCTTCTTTGCCTCTCTATGGAACAAAAGTAAAATTTGTGAACTTATTTCAAACTACCTAAGTCAGTGAGCTTCTCACCCCCTCTCCAGGTGCTCCCTGGTGATAGTGACTTCAGAGGGATTTTCTCCCATAAGGAGCCATGACTGTTCCCACAACTTTAAGCAGTGAACCCAAGACAGCACTTGGGTCATAAAATACCAAAAAAATCTATAGCCACTTCTATGTGTGTCAGCAGGATCTGTTAAACAGACCTGCTGGGTCTACCAAAGTAAATATCCAAGGAAAAGCCTAAGACTGCACTTTATAGGTTAAACTACAGTTTTCAAGAACTGTTCCCACTTAGTGCTGCATTATGTATTCCTATAGAGCATTCCCTTGTTATTTCAAACTTTGCTCTTTCTCTCATTCCTCTTTACAATAGCCCAACCCTTCTATATTGACGATTCCTCACATCTCTTGTGCAATAACAGCTTCATTAACGAAGACCTTTGGATCACAGTTACAAATAACCATATTAACTGTCTGTTAAATGACCACAACAGCTAATTAGATATTAAAGGACATCTAAGTTCCAGATGAGATTGCATTAGAAAGGATGGAAGGCCAGTGCATCCTGAAAACAGCATAAAGCAGTGTATTACATCAGGATATAAGCAGAGATATAAAGTGATCTAAAAGAAACCTAAAATATATTTGTAGAAAACCCAAAGTACAAATAATATACTTTTTATATGTATATATGTATTTATATACACTACATTATATATATTTATACTCAATATGTTATTATATTAAATATATATTCATCTAAAATGTAACTTGTATAAAACCTAAAGTATACTTATAAAGTATATTTGGTTATGTGTCAGCTCGGGCACGAGAGGCAGAACAAAGAGCACTTTCACATGTGCTATTTTAAGGGAGCTGGCTGGAAAGTTTCAGGGACAGCACGCCGCTGCCTGCTGAAGGAGCGGGACACAACTCATCTTCCAAACCACCATCACTGCTCTTAGGGATCAAAAATCTAAAGAGTTTGGGACGTGCCACCGAAAATGCCTTAGCGAGCAGCTCAACCCCAAGAGCTCCGCTCCAGCGAGACCTTCCCCGTGCCGAGGCCCGGCGGCGGGTGTGGGTCGGGGCGGGCCCGGCTCTGTCGCGACAGCGCCGGGGGCGCGCGCCCCGCCCCTCGCAGCGCCCCGGCGGCTCCGCAGCGCCGCCTCCCGCGGCTCCGCAGCGCCCGCGGGACACAACGAGAGCGCCCGGCAGAGCCGGGACGCCAGCCGTGCCAGAGCGGCCGGAGAGCCGGGGCGAGGGGCGGGCAGGGGGGCGACACCGCCCCGGGGCAGGCGGGGGGCGGCGGCGGGGAGCGAGTGGCTCTGCCGGCACGGGCCGGAGCGGCGCCGCTTCGCCTCCTTCCTTCCCCGCTCGGCCTTCCCGTTCCTCCCGCCCTGCGGCGGGGGCGCGGCGGTGGGGCCGAAGCCCGCGGGGCGGAGCGGGGCGGGCGCGGAGGGGGCGGGCGGAGGCGGCAGGGGCGGGACTCACGTACTCTGCACCTGCAGGTCCATCTCGCGCATCTCGGTGAACCTGTCGCGCAGATCCATGGGAAGCTGCTCGATCACTGCGGGGACACGGGGGAGCGGGAGAGAGGGGGGGGAGCCAGTCAGTCACTCGCCGCCGTGGGGGAGGGGGAGCGCCGCCTCCTCGCCGCGGCTCCCCCCGGCTCCCCCGCACCTGCCGTGCCCGGCCGCCCGGCGTCCCCGCCGCGCACACACTCACTCTCCAGATAGTCCTCCAGGTACAGCATGGCGGCGGCCGGGCCCGCGCCCAGGGGCTGATCGAGAGCGGGGGCTCGTCCCTTCCAATATGGCGCCGCCGCCAACAACACCCGCGCCTCGACTCAGCGAAAACAACATTGGCGGCGGACGGCGCTCGCAGCCACCGCGCTGCGATTGGCTGCCCGCGGCACTGACGCACGGCGCGGCCGGCGCGCCGGCCCGCGGCCTCACGGGAAGTGTAGTGTGTATGCGGGGAGGCGGCGTGTCCCGCCATGCCGCGTCCTCCCGGCCGGTCCGCCGCCCTGGGGGCATTCCCGTGGTCTCTGCGGGCATTCCGGCCCTGCAGGGGCCGCGGGATTGGAAAGGGAAAACTTGCAGCTTCTTGACCAGACTTGGGGCTTTTGTTTGTTTATAAGTTGTTGTTTTAAATGCTGGCAGCCGGCAGTAGTGCATAAAAAGCATAAGAAATGTCAAAACTAATGAAATCGCTCCAATCTGTCTTCTCATGAGTGGCCTAAGGTAAAAGAGCTGCTCAGTTCAGCACAGGTCACAGGCAGTGACCACCTTACCACAGCAGAAATTTAGCATGGGCTTTAGTGTTGCTGTTCAGAGTGCAAAAAAATAATTAGCTGGTAGCATTTATTGCAATCCAGTTAAAACAATTCTTGCAGTAATTTAAGTGTTTGTAGCTGAGGTTTTTCACGCCGTTTCTATCCCCCAAATAGTTTATTTCATCACTGTTTTATTTGCTGATATTTATTGCTCTAATCATGGACTGGTGTATTTATCCAGATTGGGTTTTTGACTGAGGAAAGGAATTTTTGGGGCTCGCATGATGTCAGGTGTAGGTAAAGAAGCATAAGAACTGTTGTAGCAGATCAGGCTTGTTTTCCACCACACTTTTTTGTCTTCTCTTCATATTCTCATCTGCACCATACACATCCAAGCAAGGAGAGAAAGTGGATGTTTCAGCCATATCTGAGTAAAAAACTTTAATGGGATGTTTTTGAGGGTCAAGACCAAGGGAACATGACATTATTTTTATCATGCGTTAAGTTCATACATCGTGAGTAGTTAGCTGAAGATGACTGAATTTTGGAAATTGAAGCATAAATTTTGTATGTAGTCTGTATATAGACTCATGGTAGCAATGTGTTGAATACATAGGGTATAGCTAAACGTTTTTAATTCTTCTGTCATTAAAGATGGAGGGGGGAAAAGGTATAATAATAACTTCTCAACTTTGCGAAAAAAGTGCTGTGCCAAAGTGGTCACTTTCCATGCTCACTCCATCATTAGCCATGTAGTCTGTACTGCCAAACCATAAATATCAACCAGTTCAATATATACAAATGAACAGATTTTATATGGTCATTGAGCTCAATTAGCCTTAGTTGAAATAATCTGTACATGATTGCTTATGCAGATCACTTTGGTGTACAGCTTCTGACACAATGGAGTAGGAATTACAGTATTTTTGAAGTTTTGTGTGAAAAATTGCTTGACCCGATTATGGTATGTAGAAGACAATACTGACCGTTCCTGGGAAGATAAATGCCTGTATGAGAAATAAAAATACGGGTTTCTTTATAAATAGGCGTATTGTGAAGTTGTAAGATATCCAAATTCCAAGAACTGAACTTGGGTATCAGGGTCTCTTTTGGCGGGATAAGGGAAATGAGAAAATTCTTAAAAATCAAATCTTTTAAGGCCATTTTGTACATGAGGTTCCTTTTCTCTTTGGGCTAAGAACAAAGGAAGATGCATCACCTTTGACAGGAAATGGCTTGCAGCCAATTGGGAAAAGGGAAAGCCCCTTTTCAGAGAAAAGAAACCTTTTTAGGTAAAAAAGAATACATTGAAACTTAGAAGGGTGGGATTTTGAAAACTATAAACTGTATAAGTTGTACGCCCACAGGGTCTTTTCTCCCCGAAAAACTTGGTGAGAGAAGGACCCGGCACACTGAATAAATTCTTTGTTTCTTTGTTCCCTGAATTATACTGTCTTTCTAAATTTAGAAGAGGAATTTTTCCCACACCTGCACTTTTATTGAAGTGAAAGGGTTTGATGCAGCAAGAGAGCTTAGCCCATACAAAGTAGTGACATCATTAGGAGAAAAGCTAGGTGAATTTAGGGGAGATCTGAATTGATGGGGTCACCTTCTTTTATGCTAAGTCATGGGTTTAATGTTTTCTAAAGAAAAAAAAATCATAGACATGTTTGGGAGTAGATTTCATGGAGCAGAAGTTTAAGAGAACCATATTGTACACAAAGATACCACTGTTAGAACCACAACTGAAATACAGTCCTTAGCATTTGCTTCATGACCAAAATCCCAAGACAACACAGACATTGGGACCTTGTGACTTATACTGTGCTCCAGTTTGCAAGGCTGTGTTTGACACATTGTCATCTTTGCAAGCTTGGGAATAGCCAGCAAAATTCTCATTGGGGGCTACTGTGCACAGGTATTTTCATCTGTTTTCTGTGGGTTGTGTCCAGACCAAGCAACCCAAGAAACATAGCTCTTGGGGCTGTGTCTCAGTCATTCCCATTAGCAATGGCATGTGCCCTGTCTGTATTGCTAAAAAGGCAAAATGAAACTCAGGTATGCCAACAGAATGACAAAGTACTTGTGGGGCTGGCTGCTGTCTTCAATGTATGTTTTGTGGTTTACTGGAATGTGAGAGAGTTTTATAAAAATAGAGACCTGCTTCAGAAACTGTTCATTGTAGTGCTGTACAGAAGGGAATGGGAGGGGATTATGGAGTAGAATAGAAATGAAAATACAATTCAACTTTGTTCAGTATTTATTTAAAAGAAAATAGGAACTTGTTTATTTACCTGTAGTCCTCTTCAGTATTTTTTTTGACAAATGGAGAAACTTACATTTTTCATTTCTGCAAATGTTAACTCGTATAGTGAAATGAGTAGCCACCCCAACTTCAGTGGGATTGCTTGTGTAAATGGTGCTTATCATGACCAATGGCACTGAGTTTAAACTGACATTTAAGAAGCGATAAGCCACTCAGACCATAAAAAAGAAACTGTTTTTACAATGGGAAACTTCCTGTTGTGTATAAATGCAAAGAATTAACTCCATTGATTAACTCAGCTTTTAGAACAGCCTCACTAGAACAGCTCCTGATAAGGAAACATGTATTAGACTGTTTATTGGAATGCAAATACAGTGAAAAGGAACTAAATGCCAACTGTGAACTCAAGGTAAAAAGAAATTCAATTTGTGAATTACAGTCAACATTGCTCAAAAAACTTCTGTGCATCAACAGAGCTGCTTAGCACAGGAAAGGAATGGAAGCCACAGGAGCTGCTGTTTTCTCCTGTTTATATAATGTTATTAATGTTGATGGCATTTCTCCAGCAAATGTTTCACATAAATCATGTTTCATCACTGTGGCAGAGTGATGGCATAAAGGAATATTATAGTTGCCATGTGATCTACCTAAAGCTAATTGCTTGCATAGGTTTCATTAGTTTTCAGCTGACAGGAAAAAACCTGATTAAAAACATGGATTTATGTTCTGATATACACTTCTCAGATGGGGTTAAGACTTTCAAATTTTCTCCCTTGCTTCTGCTCTTACCCATTCCAGATCTCTGTAGTGTCCTTTTTCATTGTTCTGATTTCTTCAATATCTTCCCACGTGTGGGGTTGTTTGACATGTCTAACTCCTTCATTTCCATCATTGCATTTCACCTGCTGTCTATCTCATGGTCCCTCCCTTTCCTTGTTCCTTCCTAATCCATTCTGTCTTCTAAGCTGTATGATTGCTGGAGCTTTCTGTACCCATTTAGGACCATCACAGTTACATATTTACTTCAGTACTCTGATTTTTAACTCTTGTCTAATACAGTATTACTGGACCTCCAGTCCTTATGTTTTGTTTCTTCGTTTTCAAGGAGGACCTGTTTGAAATGCTTTGATTTGAAAAAATCAGAAAAGACCTACCTAGCCCATTCCTAGATTGATATTTCAGGTTTCAGCTACTGCTGGTAGGTTCCTGTGCTTTGGTTTCTCATGAAGGAGCCTCGCTGCCCATGGCACACATAGATTGTGATGTTTCTGAGGGCTAAACTGCTGTCACAGAACTTCGACACAGAGTGACAGCTAAGCGGCATCCACGGGGTGCAGCAGAGCCTACATACAACTGCAAGCCTGGGTAGCTCCTAAACTACTAGAAACTGAGCAGTTTGCTTTTCTTTGGCACCTGCTTATGCTGCACCAGAGCAGTCCTGCCTGGTGGGCCAGAATCCATTCACCACGGTACTGCTGTGAGCATGTGTTGTGGATCACAGCATTCCTAGCAGTTTTGTCTGCCAGTGTCAGTGTCAGGCTTGCTGATCTCACATGCTTTCAACTATTTTATTGTAATTCCTCCTCACTTCCTGTTTATTGCCTGCTATTTTTCTCCTGTTTTGGCCGGTTTTCCATTCTTTTCAGTCCTCCCAGTTTCGCAGTCCAGCTGTCCCTCCCAGCTGTCATGGACCCCACCATCTTCCAAATTCTACCCCTTCTGCTGGTGCAGGGGCATCACCCACAGCATCACTCTCCCTCTGCAGGAAATAACAATCATTCCTGCTGTACTACACACCATGGCTGTTGGAGGACTTTAGTTAAATCACTGAATTGTCTTGGGACTGAGCACCATGTAAGGGTTACAGCATGATAGTATTTTTTCTGGGCAATCAACTTGATGTAATGGGAAACTCCATCCAAAGCTGGATCCTAGGAAAAAGCTGGGTCAGAGTATCAAGTACATAATGTTACCCTTGTCTAGCGCAGCACTATGCAGAAACTTCACACTTCCATTATATGATTCTCAAATGGGCAAATTTGGCCCAGAAATAGTGTGTCTGTCTTATAATCTATCTGAGAAATCACTTTCCTTTTCTGCTTATTACAAACTCTTTCAGATTCTGAGATTTACATTCCTATTTCTGGAAGCAAATCCATGACCCCAGATAATTAATTGCTGTAACCATCAACAGGAAAATGGAACTGCCATTTATCTTTCAGCTTGACTTTGTGTACAGACTCAGGCAATAATATCTCCATCTTTTAGTTAATTTTATCTGCTACAGACTCAGTTAAATTTGCTTGCAGATTTCAGTTATTTCC